CGTGGAAGTTTCAAAAATCGATAACTCTGATGGGAGAACGTCTTGACTGTCAAAGGGGGACTGAGCATGGATTGGTCATCACAATATGAAGGAAGCATGAGTGTCGATGCCCCTACAGCTACATGCAGATGCATGAGTGTTATCGGATGAATGCACACGTCCCACTATACGACTTCTAATAACAACACAGACACTTCAAGGCCCAATACACCATCGCAAATGAGTCACGTCTTCCAGCTACAAGCCGAATTATTTCGACATGGGTCATATCCATACTAATTATTGTATTAAATTAAATATGATGTTAATGGGGCTGGTAAATGTGCAAAGCCGTCGTTGAGTCCCGGTCTAGAGACATACCTCGATTGAAGTCGACCCTTCCTGGGAGCTTTGCACTGACCCATAGATGTGTGATAATCCGCACACCCTGATTAGATGTTTATTTATTTAGCTTTCCACAATCCGTTATGTTTTCAGCTGTTAGCCCTGTCTAAACTAAACAATTTACGGAACACACCTGTTGACGCTCCGAAAACTTGCAGTGGTGTAATGTTTACGCGACTGACGTTGATTTTAAATAAGATATGGGTTTTTCGATAACTATATCAGTACTTTCAAGTGAATTTCACTTCAAGGAATACGGAACCAAACACCGATCGAGCAAACTAAACATTTAACTGCCGTGGCCTCGGAATATGTTTACTCTAGTAAGTAGTAATTACACACAAGTGCAGCATTTACTAAGACTGTTAAAATTGCAGGCGACAGAAAAAGTCTGACGCGTATTAAATGAGAGTGAATACAGTAAAAGTCTGATGTGACTTATCTATGTGTGGGCCTACTGCCGAGAACACTTGTGTGTGTGTCTGACGTAGATTGCACGCCTCAGCCCTGAATCAAGGAGTTGTGTGTTTGATGTAAGTGGTACGGGCGAGCTTTCACAATTTTGCCGAGAAACAGGTAACTGACGCATGCTCACTCTGATAACCGATTTTGTGGTATAAACTTGGAAGCGTTTAAAATGTGTTATCCGTTACAGTTGGTGTTGGTGTTGGTGATGGAAACATAACAACAGATCGCCGGCCCAATATAACGAATGTTGATTTGTCGAATGTCAACATTATCTGAACTATCAAACAACACACCACGTGACCATCACTTTGACTGCAACGTAGTACAGGCTCAAATGACCACAGAGCACGATTCAAATATGTGAGCGATTGTATACAAATGTCAGTATTGCATAATTGTGAATTACTCAACTAATCGGGCACAGACAGATAATACGTGAATTGCTTCTCTATTTTCTGTTCTTCATAAATTCCAAAGTGAAAGCCCAGTGAAATTCAGTCTGAGTTAATATCGAACTATAATATGTACTTATTCTGTATGCAACCCCGGCGTTTTGAAAATGCTGAGATTTGTGTTTACCCAGAATACACTGTGGCCACGTGAATAACAGTACTTCCGGTTCGAGAGTTCACTATTGAGTCTAATATGACTTTTAAGATTCACGCTAACATAGTGTCTCTATCGGACATGTTAGTGTTCTGCAACGCCGTGACCATATTTTTCTAATCGCCTTATACATTGACGGAAACCATCATCGATTACAAGTTTTAACGCCAAGAGGAAATCACAAAGGATACGTGAATTTGCTGGATAGATTTTATCGATTTTTTGCCAACTAGAGGATGAACAGGACTACCATTTATATTGTTTCAAAATCTAACTATAGTTCACTGACAGTCTGCTTAATAATAGCTCCATTAAGGACCATAATATATATAGACGCGGACCATACAATATAATAGTTTAAAACTGAATCAGTTAATGGTATACACTGGTTGTAACAAACCGGTCCTACCTGTGGTTTCTCGGCAGATAAGTGTAGTACAGAGCAGCTTTGCATGTGATGTGATTCCACCTGCAATTCCGTTACCGTTCTCTATATGTGAACGCCAAGATGAGAGGCGAGTCTAGCTTAGAACCGTCAAATTAGAAGTCGACCATTTAAATTCATAGGGATGGATGGAATTTTTTTTTCAAAAAGAAAATTGCAAGCCAGACACCGAAAGAGTAAAAATGTATGCAAGATGTTGTAGGAACTATTGGTGGCAAAATTCAAGACAAAAAATGTACAGACTAAACACGGCGAAAATGAGCTTATCACACTCTTCCAGCCACCCCAACATATCAAATGTTTGCCCCTTAACACGAACTTAACTACTCATTCAAGTTGTGCCGCCTCACATAGTTATGCCGAAGTCTGTCTCCTCGGTTCAGAATCACAAATTGTCTGATTTTCCACGACAGACAAACATACCCACTGTAGAGACACTGTAGCGAGCCACGTTTGTTTGTCAATTCTACTCAGCACCAACTATGGCCGCCAAAACGGCGCGCTATTAGATCGGCGGCGACACCGTTTTCATGGAGACTATGTAGGCAAAAAGGTACCACGGTGTCACGAAAAGCGAGCATCGCCATGGTTTGTGCCGTTGCCTGGGGAAACACAAATACATACGGAAGCGTGAGAATGAGTCAAAGTTCGTCACTTCGTGCAATATTTGTTCTAATTTTTAATTGTGAACTTTATTATGAATCATTACCGTTGGATATAATTCCTGTTGGGAAGGACAATCAGAACTTTTAATGCTGTTGACTTATTCGGTAAATGCGCATTTTTCCTTTTTAAAACGCATGAGCGCATATTCTGTTTTGTTTCTCCATTTTGTAGATTATTTTGTCGCCTAGTTTACTATTGTGTAGTTGGTCATCTTTTTACACACTCGGGAATGCTTGTATTGCACGTGCTTCCCTTTTGTGTGGAGACGGGTCGTTTTTTGTTTCTTTCTCGCACTTTATTTTTCTCCGCCACAGAACTTACAGAAATGGCAGTCCATTCCTTGAATATAATTATTACTAGAACGCAGTTATTGGTTTTATTTATTTCGTTATTTAAGTCAAAAAGAGAAAAAAATATCTGGTATATATAGGTGCCATTATACAATACTCTACACAGTTTTGAATTAATGGTAACATGCGTTTGGGTGAATAAATGGTGTGAAACGGTAGAATTGGTAGAATTTGTTTATTTTGCCCTCGCCGTTACGTACCCTTAATTTGATAAAGCGGATTCAAAAATGTTAGTAGTTAATACTCTACAGCCCTCCATTCTGATGGATTCACTGTAAACATAACACTCGACAGGAACTCGAACTTAAGAGTCTAAACGGGGCT